GTGTAACTGGGGGGAAAGGAAAAAAACACCCAATATCCTAAATTAATGGCATTCTATCATAATGCTACAGACTGAAGACTCCATTCCTTTCTTTGAAACCTCTTCAAAACACCCCAGATGCTGCAAGCATTGTAAAATGAAGCCTATCACATAGCCTAAGTTATTTTTTTGCTCTGACTCTCCTATGCAAGTCTTTCTCTTCTGCAAAAATTATTTTTTTCCTGTCTCTGCCATCACAAGACACTACATCAAGATTTTGAAAGTACCACCATACTGAGGGTTCCGCATTTGCCTTAACACCTCAGACAGAAGAGCACAATTCGCAGGGCATGGCGCTTCTCTAATTCTGAGGCAGCAATGTTTTTTTTCTGATAGACCTAATAAACTCTAAAGATGCATGCCTGAATTATTCCACACAGAAGTCTCAGCATTTTTCAGACAAAAAGAGATTAAGACAGTCCAAAAATTCATAAAGATGTTATAAGAAATGAGTTAACACCCACAGAGTTCACTCATGGCTGGTATCAGTTCCAGCTCCCTGGGAATCATGCCTCTACCACGACCTCTTTATTGCCCATGTCGGCCTACATATTGCACAGAATTTTTTTCATTAAGGGTTCCACTCTCTCCATTTATCCTCCTGCTCCTTCTCTGGATGGGCTGTGTGCATTTGTATTCCCCCTCTATAGGGAATGAGAACATCAGTCCTGCAAGCTAACTGTCCTAATCACATCCCTCCTTCTTGCTCAGTACCTCCACATCACGTTGTTGGGGGTTTGCGTGGCAAGGTTTTGGTAGCAGGGGGGCTATAGGGGCGACTTCTGCGAGAAGCTGCGAGGAGCTTCCCCCATGTCTGATAAAGCCAGCACCAGCGGGCTCTAAGATAGACCCGCTGCGGGCCAAGGCTGAGCCAATCAGTGATGGTGGTAGCACCTCTGTGATAACATATTTCACAAGAGCAAGAAAAAACTGTGGTGAAAAGCCAGTTGAGAGAGAGGAGTGAGATGATGCGAGAGAAACAACTCTGCAGACACCATGGTCAGTGAAGAAGGAGGTGTTTGAGATGCCGGAGCAGAGAGCCTTCCGTTGCAGCTTGTGCAGCAGACCATGGTGAGGCAGGTTGTACCCCTGCAGTCCATGGAGGTCCATGGTAGAGCAGATCTCCACCTGTAGCCTGTGGAAGGGACCCCACACTGGAGCAGGTGGATGCCTGAATGAAGCTGTGACCCCATGGGGAGCCCACGCAGGAGCAGGCTCCTGCCAGGACCTGTGGACCCATAGAGGGAGGAACCCACGCTGGAACAGGTTTGCTGGCAGGGCTTGTGAGCCCGTGGGGGACCCATGCTGGGGCAGCCTGTTCCTGAAGGACTGCACCCCGTGGAAGGGAACTATGCTGGGGCAGTTCGCGAAGAGCTGCAGCCCGTGGGAAGGACTCACGTTGGAGAAGTTTGTGGAGAACTGTCTCCCGTGAGAGGAACCTCACCCTGGAGCAGGGGAAGAGAGTGAGAAGTCCTCCCCCTGAGGAGGAAGGAGGGGCAGAGACAACGCGGGATGAACGGACCACAGTCCCCATTCCCCATCCCCCTGCGCTGCTCGGGGGGAGAAGGGAGAGAAACGGGAGTGAAGCTGAGCCCGGGAAGAAGGGAGGGGTGGGGGGAAGGTGTCTGAAGATCTGGATTTATTTCTCACTATCCCACTCTGATTTGATTGGTGATGAATTAAACTCCCTTTTCTCCCCAAGTTCAGTCTGTCTTGCCCATGACGGTAACTGGTGAGTGACCCCTCCCTGTCCTTGTCTCGACCCTCGAGCCTTTCACCACATTTCCTCTCCCCTGTCCAGCTGAGGAGGGGGAGAGACAGAGCGGTTTTGGTGGGCACCTGGCATTTATCCAGGCCAAACCAAAACACACGTACAAATCTTATGTGACACACTGGGCTTGGTGTATCACTTGCTCAATGTGAATAAAATTGGTCACTTCCAATTAAAATCTGCGATATATATCTCTGTGTGTAGTCATCAAACTTCATCTTAGCCTGTGTCAAATGTATTCCACCCTCCTACCGTGCATCCAGCGACCTCCCGCAGCCACTGCTACCAACGCTGAACTCCTCCTCCTGGCTCTGCCCTGGGGGTCGAGCACACAGCCAGCAGAAGCCCCAGGGGATGCAGAACTGGGCAGCAGAACATCAGCTCTGAAGCACTAGCCTCCTCCTGCTCCTCACCTCCCTCCGAAGGCAGGCTGTAGTTGCTCTCGTTTCCTCAACTTCATCCCCGCTGCCACATCAGCCAGCCCCCACCAAGACCTCACACTCATCCTCAAAGCAAAGCAACCGTCAGAAATAACGACTTAACATGAAAAACAACACACTGAACCCTGAAATGAGCTATGTTTCCCTCCCACGGATGCTACTGCAGCTCCATCCAACCAGGAGCAACTGAACTGCTGAGAAGATGCTTCAGGAACCTTTATCATCTATATTCCACAGTTAAATAATTTTTAGCACTACATACCCAGCTTTGATAACTGCTTTTGGCAGCACGATTTGTTGAAATCTCAACAGTAATTTTACAAACCATAAGCAAAAGCCAAAAAAACCCTATATCTCCTTTTTCCATTTCTTCAAGGATAATAAAGAAAAAATTTAAAAATTCTATATGCATAAAGGTTTGGTGAATCCCAACAAATAAGGAAATGCTGGAAGGAGAAGACAAGGGGTTTCCCAAAGACATTCAGTATTATAAATTATAAACCCACCTAGTGATGACAAATGGGTTATAATGGATTATTTTTCATGCACACTGTTTTGCTTGTATAGAAGAAATGTTTGCACATTAATCTGTTCAGAGTGCAGACAGTACCTTGTCATTTTTTCATCTATGAATTTAAAACAAGTATGATTTTTGCCTTCTAATACTGAACAGTTTTACCTCCTCTTAAATGTTAAATGGGGTTACATTTTTAAGTACTGCTATGAAAGCTGAACAGTACTTTTGCACGTTTGGACTGCTGCCCCCGTAGCTTGGAATTTCCAATAAACAAGTTGCTCTGCTTTGATTTTCACTGCCAAGTTCACACTTCTCAAACAGAATACAGTCAACTTTAGTTCATATTCAACTTTTTTCTGGCTCCCTTTCTACTTACGCATTGTGCAAATGTTCAGCAATTTCCTGGAAGAGCTGAAAAAAATTTTAATATCACTCTTGATAATTATATGATTCTTCTGGAAAAATTAATTTAATTTGATTAACGTCACTCCTCATTTTCAGACTAAACAAATTATAATTCCACAATGGAATTTAACGAAAAGTTCTTCCTTGAGTAAAAACATTTTCCTCCCTGCATACAGCCTGATAAAAATGTAAGAAAGAAAAAAGGTCTTTTTACTTCTCCCACTGGCTGCTTGCACAAAAAGCCAACTCTGGACAATTCTTACATGTTCTGTCTATAAATTATCTAGCTTAGCATTAACTGCGTTTCCACTGAAGCCCAAGGAATACCTCAGAAATAGTGTCGCAGGACACACTACACCAATGCAAAATCCACCGTCACCAGACAGATGCACCTTCACCCAGTGCCTTTCTCGCTAACCATGGCTACATCCTCTCACCGCTTATCTTGCTGCCTCTCATCTGGTTCTCTCTAGCTCTTGAGGCGATTTAATTGATAAAAGATCAGAGGGAATATCTGAAGAAAAAAATAAAACTTTTTCTACCACATCAGTGAGCTGGCTCAACATAAATCAGAAATCACTAATTTCGTTCACAAAAGAGATCATTATGCCTGTAATCATCCCGGTGCAATTAGTTACACTTGAAAAAAAAAAATAATTTTTCCATACTTCACACCATTCACTGGGTAACTACAAGTATGGAGACTCCACAAACTCTCTCAGCATTAGAAGACAGAAAATTAAATACCCTTCACCGAAAAAACTAAACAGAATGAAAAAAAGAACATAAAAAGTATAAAGGATCCATATATTCACAAAAGCTAAAACTACAGAGAACGGCAGAAGAGGAAATCTCAGGCACAGCTTCACAGACTGATGCAAAGGTACATTATTTCAAAAGAGAAGTTAAAGCAACTTCATCAGCATAAGAACACTTTACAGCGCAGCTGGGATTCCAGGGTATGTCTAGGTCTAGATTCCAGACTGAATGCTGTGTCTACTATACGAACTTTTCACAAAGCTGCCTAAGAATTTGATCAAAATCAGATAACCATGAAAAAACACTGAGGTTTCTACATTTAAAACCCCACGCACTGCAGCATCCAGCTGCGGCAATGCCCAGATCAGTTCTCATTTCCAGTGTCATGACTGACTGCAGTATTACTTTTCTTAAATGAAATTCAACCTAAGCATAAATTGCACCACCTAATATTGGAGAAGTTTAATTAGCAATGTTCACAACAACATTTATCTCATACAACGCCACACAAACAAGGAAACAAATGTTCACCATCAACAGAAGCATGTATAAGCAAAATAATATTCAAATACATTTATCCTCTTTAGAATAATTAATGTATTAATATTTTGTATACTAACTGAAGATACTGATTTCTTGAAACGAACAGACAAAGGATGAAGTAACCTCTCCACAATCACCCAATAACAAAGATCAACCTCATGTGAATGTCTCTGGATTCTACAATTTTTCATAGAGAAAACCCAGTGAAAAACTGCCTGCCTGAAAGGACATTCTTGTGAGTCACTTCTATTATACTGCTAAATAACGATTCAGGCAAAGAGAAAAATAGAGTGGTTTTTGAAGAACAGTTAATCTCCCTCTGGGCAGGATTTAAATTCTTGTTCTCCTTTAAAAAAAAAAATATCTGTAACATAGGTTTGCAAGTTATATATAGTCCAGCCCTCTCCACTCACCTGAAGAGAATATGTCTCCCAGGAATTTATAACGCATTATATTAATGAAACATTATACCACATGTTAGAAGAAAGAAAAAAAAAAGAAGATATATAGATATATTTAGCCTTACTTCTCCATGTCTTAAAGGTGTAATAGCGCCTCTTGCTACTGCCATTCGGAACAATGTTTCTGTGGCCTGCATCAAAAACAACACACGCAAATCAGTTATTTAAAAACCAGACAACTGTGTTATTCAAAAAACAGACAATCCAGCTTATGAAGATTTATTTTAAATTTTACAACACTTTTTTAAAGTGTCAGCTACCTTTAGTGCCCATCTCGCAACCGAATCACTTCAGTGAATTACTCAGAACAGCCTGCACAAGTCAGGTGAAGGTTTATTGCAAGGTGAGAGGTCTATCGAGGATTTTGGTCTCAGCCTAAGTGACCACCTAAGCAGTGCCTGGTCCCTCCCACAACACTGCAGCAGTCACACGAGGCTCTTCATTCAGGTCCGAGATGCTTAGGCCCATGTAATGGTCTTCCACAGGCTGTCAGCTAAGAGTGGGATACTAAGGGGAAAAATAGCTATATGGTATTTTACAATTCATGAAACTAATTAATTTTTTAATTGCTGTTTCATATTATTTATATTAATAATATTATATTCTAATAATGTA